AATTTTTTTTTTTTTTTGTACCGGGGATTGAACTCGGATTCTTGCTCTTGCAAGGCAGGCAGGCAGCGGAACCACTGATCTTAATCCCCAGCCCTGGCTGTTTTAAAAAGAAGCAAAAATCAAAGCAAAATGCTATTTCCCAGAATTTTTTTTTTTACACTTCCCAGAGAAGTGAAGTATTGTTCTAAATATTGGTGAGTCATATTTTCAAACGGAAAAATCATGAATTTAATTATTCCTGGGAAACATGGCTTGTTCACATTTTCTGTGTATTACGAAAGGGTTTGCTTACACTGTTGATATAGGCTTTGTATGCTGAAATTAAAAATAAAAAAAAAAACCTTGTAATAGCTGCTGCAAAAGTTTCTTTAGAAAATTTACAAACCGTGATTATATATTAGTAGGTAATAGCTACTCTAAGAACTTCTCTCTTACTTTGAACTATCAATAGCAAAAATAATTTAAAATGTGCCTAAGAATATTGTTACAATCATCTATATGTTGCTATAAAATTTTATATCATTAACTTTAAAGAAGTAAAAATTCATGAAATCTATTACCCTCTCAAGCTTGTTTTCTGTCTTCTTTTGAATTACTGCAAATCTTAAAATACAGGTGTATTTATAATTTATAAGTAAGGAACCAGTATCATACTTCACAAATCACACCTTTTTTTTCAATCAGGTGCAGATTTATAACTAATCAATGATTTTTCTCCCTAGCGGAAGTACCAAAATAATGCTGATTGATCTATTTTATAATGACTGTTATAATCTGTGGTCCTTAGCTCCTTCCCCATCCCTCCATGTCAGTAAGGACTCAGAATTCTCCCTCTGCTAGTATGTAGCTCATAGGAGAGTTCAGTAATGACTTCTTGGTTCATCATTTTCTTGGTTCACCATTGGATATGGTAAGCTCTATGTACTATGAATTTTTACTGCATATATGTTCAAAATGATACATTCCAGCCCATTTAACAGCTAACACATATGTTAGTTTTCAAAATACCTAGCAATTCACTACAAAAAAATAATAAAAACCTTTTTCTCTTTGACCAGTTTGGCTTAAAACACTTCACAACAGAGCCATAATTTGTATATCTCGCCGCCAGGAAGCTCTGAATTGAATGTGTTACATTCCTGCTGCCACCCCTTGGGACAGTCCTGCATATACCACTTGTGGTTTGAGCCAGAAGGAGCATGTTAAAACAAGGTTCTGTTTACACAGATCTTGCTGTCTTTTTAGCACCCAGTAAAAATCAAAATCTATTTAAAGAGAAGGTATAATATGATATAGTCTGTTTTAGTCAATATATTATTTTCCAAGGCCATTTCTATATTATAAAACATTTAATCTATGGAGAAGCATCCTTTAATATGTAAATGCCTAAGTATTACCTAAATTTGAGACAAGTTCTTTTCTTTAAAAACCAACCAGAAGACAAATAATGCAGATTCATTAAAAGTAAAGCTGTACATGTTTTCAAACACTTCAGTGAAGAACATTATAGGGTGTAAGATAAAGAAAACATCTGTAGTTGACTAAAGCTCTAGCCTAAAAGCAACTTTATATTCATTATAATAGGAGATGTGTCTGGGACTATGCAGTCTGGACTAGGGAATATTTGTTTGATCTAAGCATCTGTGTTTCATTTTAGAATTTCCCAGGAAGAAAGTGGTATGGGAAAGCAGAAGTGAGATGAGTACTCACCAAAATTACACGCCTGACCACTGAGGGCAGAGAGTTGTTGTGAATAGGCCCAGTCTTCATCATTAGGAGCAGAGATCACCAGCAACCGCCTCCTCCATCGGAACCTGGAAAAAAAGCAGAAGGTTACTACTGCTGACTGCCTCAAACAAGAGTCCAGTGTCAGAGAGCAGAGTCACTTTAGCTGCCATTTTTCCAATGCCAAGAATAAAAAGTATTGACCTATGGGGCTGTCCTGTAGCTCCTCAAAGCCATGGAGCTGCATTTCTACACTTCTGTACTTTTTCTGTTGTTACTTCTGCCTACGTTGGTATTTGCATGGTATATCAGGCATGAGTCTGTGGTCGCTGTGCCCAGTCAGGACACTTAAGGAGAGGCAAAGTTCTCCAATGAAATGAAAACTGGACAAAGTTGTACTCTATGCTTTATCACTAGAAATAAGAAAACTCAAGTCTTAAGATAGTTTCTTCCATGGTTTAAAAAGGATTATGAAATGAATATACAAGAAGCCAGGCACAGTGACACATGCCTATAATCCCAGCATTCGGGATCGCTGTGAGCTCGAGACCAGCCTGGGCTACATAGTAAGTTCCAGGTCAGTCTCAACTACATAGTAGACCCTGTCTCAAAAAAACAAAAACAACAACAACAACAACAAAAATATGAATATACAGACAAGAAATACAGGGGAAATAAAAACAACTGAATTATAAGTAGATGACTAAGACAGTCAAGTGGGAAAGTGGTTCAGAGATGGTTTTGGGAAAAATAAAATAGTGTGTCCCTGTCTCAGTAACCAGTTGTATATTTCAGAGGTAAATGTAAGTTCTAAAATTCTAATAGGCAACACAGAGGTTCTCTACCAAGTGGAAAGTTGCTAAACTTGAGCCATAGAATTTTAGAAAATAGACTTGGTTTCTGTGATAGCTTTTGTTGCTGAGAAGCCTGAATTCAAGTTTTGTCATTACTAATTTTGGGATGTCCTTGAGTATGTCTCTCAGTTCACAAGTTTCAGTCCTTACCTGCAGAAGTGAAAGCAGTATGTCTACTTTGAAGGGGTGTACAAGGATCAGCTCTAAAATCCATCCATGTGAGTTATCCACATGATGACAGCCCGCTAATTCTATTCATGGCTTCTTTTGTGCTCCTTGTAGATTCAGAGTGAACATGAGAGTTTCCACCCCAAAGGAAATGGCCTCTTGGGTAACAGAGGTTTGGGTGAATGAGATAAAATGATAGTGTGATGAAATACAACCTCTGAAGGGATGTCTGCTGTAAGGCTCGCCAAGAATTGCTTGCTGTGACATTACGTTCACTTTCTCTGCTTGTTTTACTTCAAAGGGAAAGAAAAACTAAAATCTCCACTGAGGATAAGGAGATGAATATGTTTGGCACTGAGGAGGGGAAAGGAAAATCTGAGACTGTCCCGAGTTTCCTGAGAAAGGGAACCATGATGGCTGTCTGGTCACAAACATGGTCGCCTGTGCTTTCTGTTTCCTTAGGATGTGTGCCAGACCAGCACAGGGCCCAGCCAAGATCCCAACCAGGCCAGTCTGCCTGCTGTACAGAGCTGTAGGGTGTCCTAGAGGAGCTATTTTGAGTGAGGTCTATTTTGGCTTGTTTAGCTGTGTGCACCACTGAGTCCTGAGGAGGGAGGATGGGATCTAAGACTCCTGGTCATAGACATAGCAGAGAAGGTCATTTCCCCTAGTCATTAATTCATCTTCCCACAGACCTTCACATTAAGATGCAAGGACTTGGCTTGCAATAATGAAGAAAATAACTTCTAACACACGAAACCAAAGATGTACACTTAACCCAGACCCTTTCTTTGGACAAAATGTTTTGTGTCACTTTAGCTTCTCAGTAAATAAAAATATCACATGTTATGCATATGTTCGCTTGTTTAACTCATATTAGCAAATTAGCGAACATTTTTATACTCTTTGGTGCTTCTATTTCAGGAAAAAGTAATCATAGCCTGAACCAAATTCTAAAGCCCAGACTAGCATCAGGGTCTGGTCAGCTGAAACCAGGCTCTGCAGACCCAGCAAATTTGAGGGAAAATTCCTATTTGGATTAGTCTTAGAACAGTTGTTATTTTCCACTTCTTTTTGCCTGAGTTTCAATTCTGAAGTGTTTAAGAAGTCAGTCTCACCTCTTCTTCAATAGCTAGCACTTATCAATTACTAATTTTGTGCTATGTCCTAAGCTATCATTACCTGTAGTATTAAATGTACCCTTCACAATAATTGTAAAAAGAGATACACTTATTACTATCATTTTGCAAGTGAGAAAATGGATTTCTGTAGTAAAATATTTAGCTCTCTGTCACAGAATCAATGAGTGGAAAAACAGGATTCAAACTCAGGTGTCTTGCTCACACCTTTAGTTGATACATTATTACATTTTAATTTTTCAAATCAATGATAATTATCAGCAGAATGATTTCATGAGCTGTGACCACAAGCCAGGCACAACCATGGATATCTAAATTGTAATCATTGTAGACCACCAAATTATAAACCACTTGGAATAACAGACATATGCTCCTGAAAGAATATCAAACCCTATGAGGCTCTTAGATAAAATATAAACCCCATCTAGTTCAACAGACTTTAGATGAAAAATATTTGTACATGTATTAAGAATCAACAGAATGCCAGATTCAAACCAATAAACAATCTGGATACAGCATTTGTAAGTGAACAAAACTGAGATGTCAGTTTTTCCTTTCAAATTTTGAAATCTGTGACATACTGATTATAAAAAGATTTTCTTTCATTTTGCTCTTTAATGTTATACTTTGAGTGTCTCCTATAAGAAAAATTGTACACTATTTAAGCTTGTGTGTCAGATTTACTTTGCTTAACATAATGGTCTCGATTTATCATTCTCTACAGCAGATAGACAATAGGAAACGGAGATAAATCTTTTGCAAATGGGAAGAAGACCAAGAGATGGAGGGAAGTGGATGAGGGGATGAAGAGGGAGAGGAAAGAGTTGTAAAAGAAATTAATCTATGTTATGTACTTGTATCAACTCTCCACAATGTAATCATTATGTACTACAAACATGTACTAATAAAAATAAAAATGTTTTAAAAAGACAAAACTATGCAGTTCTTGACTCACATGTGGAGAGTGTGCTTTCACAGGCACAAGTAAAGATTCAGACTAAATGATTCACATTTAACCCAGAGTCTCCAGGAAATGCTCCATTTCTGGTGCCCCTCAGCCACGCAATAAGTACAGTTGGGGGTAGTGTTTATTTTGTGGGTTTCTTGTGGGTGATTTTTACAATTTTGCACTTCCTAAGGCCCCAGAGTCCCTGTAGACTTTTTTTTTTTTTTTTTTTTTTTTTTTTTTTTTTTTTTTTTTTTTTTTTTTTTTTTTTTACATCAGAGAAGGATAGGAGAAGGGAGACAATTAAATGCACTGAGGTTGCTGAGAAATGGCTTTCAATAAATGTCTCTCCCCAGAGAATCAGGGAGCTGGGTTAAGAGGGTTTCTCCTTCTGAAGAATCAGTGAGGCTTTTGTTGCTTTCTGCACAGTTGCAGGGAAGCAGAAAAATCAAGCACAGTATGCCAAATCCTGTTTGGAACAAGAAGGAGCCTAATAAATAAATACGTAAACAAAGGTATCATGTCCAGAACATTCTAAATTCACCAACTGAATGAATCACTCCTCAAGAAGTTCAGAATTCTGTCTTCTGTACTAAAAAAGAAGCAAAAAGGAGAGAAAAGACTTATCCAAACCACCAAGTCCACATTTACTCCTGAAACTGAACTCAGTCAGTTTTGCAAGCAGTCACTTTCAACAGAACAAGACAAGCCTGTGGCCAGAGTGCCCAGAAACTGACAAGCTTTTCTCCAGGCAGGTTCATTTTCTGGTTCTCTGTCTCTTGGGCATTTTCATTAGCTCACTCCCAACAAATCTGTGCTTGCCTCTTTCAAGACCGGAAAGGTGATGTACCTGGATAGGAAGTTCTCCAGCGATTGCTTCTTGTCTTCTTTACATACAATGCCCTCCTTTTTCTGCCTCTCCATATCTTTGATTCTGGACTGGAATGTATCAATCAGATCAAATACGGACTTCATTGCAATCGGAACCTCATAGTATTGCTGTTTAAGAAAGCATACAATTATGTAAATACATTGTTCTCTCTGTTCAGAGCATCCAGGAGAATTCAGGGGACATCTGGGGAAGTATTTTAAAACACAGCCTGGAAGGCTCACTGACTTAGTACTCTCCTGAAATAGTACTTTCTGCTGATATTTTAAGTTTCAGAATCCATGAAACTGTTGCTTTTACAAAGAATTCTTAACTGCACTTTTTTTTTTTTAAATTGGAAAAGGGCCATACTTTCCTCATCATACAAATCCTAGGTTCACTTCCCTACTTTTAGTACTAAGCTGATCCCTGTTCACTATCAAAAAGTGAAAAATGCCATATCCAACACAGGAAACCAAATGAAATGTTGTGTTGTGGTAGTTCTGCCCCAAGGCCTGTTCTCTAGTCCTAGAGATTATCTCACTGCGTTTGCAGCACTTAATGTTAAGTCATGTTTGCTTACATATTTTCAGAAACAAATTGGGCTCTAACATAGATAATGACAGTTTCCTGAGTCATAGTTCTCTGGACTTACAAAAGCAACCTGAGACAGATTTGGGGTCAGGATGAATATAATCAGCATATGCTAGAGAACAGTCTGGATGTGGCTTGGAGTTGTATGTCCAAAGGAAATTCATCTTAAGAGATCAGGTAGTTCAGTGTCTCACATTGGCGATAGGGTAACATAGGTGTGGAAAGAATTAATAAAGCAATCTCTCCCCAGATCCAGAAAAATCTAGCTTCAGCTTAAGTCAGATGTTCTGATAACCCAGAAAGCCTTTTTTTCCCTAAAGATTCTTATGTAAGCATATGTAATATCAATATACCGAAATTACAGTGGAGTCTGGAGCAAGCCCATGTGATTATGAAGTCCAGCACTAATTGAGTAATTTTGGGCAAGTTACTTATCTATTCTGGAACTCTTCCCCCCCCCCCCCGCTTTTTCTCTCTCCCTGTGAAACAAAAATAATGCTAGTGCTTATCTAGGAAGTTTGGGACAAAAATTACAGAGTCTGGAGGAAAATGCATTGCATAACGAAAGCCCCTGATGAAGCTGGCCATTTTTGTTATTCGTATGTCTATGTATAATAGGTTTTCATGGTTCAGCAACT